TCAATTTCTAGATGTAAGTCAAGATATGAGGCAGACTTAACTGTATCTGTAGTATCCTTTATCTCTAGTTCGATGGGATAGATTCGTTCAACATAATCACCAAATTTTGTATTATTTAGTGAGAGAACATCATCTATATAGCGGAACGTAGAGTTAAAGGATATTGCTAACTTCTTATCTTTCTTCCTAAGTAGTTCCTGTATGAAGTCAGCCTCATAATAATAAAGAAACAAGTCGGCAAGAAGAGGGGCTCAATTGGTTCCAAATTGGAATTCCGACAGTCTTTTGAAAAACACGTCCTCCAAAAGTAACAAATATGTTGTCAATCAAGAAATCAAGCATCTTGATAATGTCAGTTTCAGAGAATACTGACTGTGCATATGTATATGAAAATAATATTTAATTTGATTTAAATTTACTGATAACAAAATCAATATTAATACCAATAAAATCAATATTCAAAGATCTAATTATAGTTTTGAATTGGTAACCTTTTAGAATAAATTTATTTAAAGGATCGATAAGTTTACCCGGATCGTATCTAAATTTCCGGGCTTGGATAACAACATCTCCGTAAATATTAATGAATGTGCTGACCACATGCTGAAAATATGTGCAACCCATCTCCACTTAAGTTCAAATTAAGGTTAAAATTGAGAATGGAAATGGAGAATGTGTCAAAGAGACAACAATCCGACCAAAGAGCAGAAAACAGCCCAACGCCATCAATGGTTCTTCAACACTGCGAGAAAATCCCGGAACCGAGGGTTCAACTGGCCCCGAAACAAAAATGTGTACTAGTTTAGTGAAAATGGACGTCACATTAAACTCCGAAACATATAAATGAACTAAAATAAAAAAAACCTACAAGACTAACAAAGGCCAGAGGCTCCTGACTTGGGACAGGCGCACAAATGTGGCGGGGTTAAACATGTTTAGTGAGATCTCAACCCTGCCCCTATACATCTAGCCAATGTATAATAAACAAATACACAGTAATGCGCACAGTAAAACTCAGTTTAAAAGAAGTCCGAGTCCGATGTCAGAATAGGTAACAGAAGAAACTAAGCAAAATGACAATGATACATAAATTAACAAAGGACCACTAGCAGTTACTGACATGCCAGCTCCAGACCTCAATTAAACTGATTGAAAGATTATGTCTTCATCATATGAAAATCAAGCACAAATCCCGCAACCGAGGGTTCAGCTGGCCCCGAAACAAAAATGTGTACTAGTACAGTGAAAATGGACGTCACATTAAACTCCGAAACATATAAATGAACTAAAATTAAAAAACCTACAAGACTAACAAAGGCCAGAGGCTCCTGACTTGGGACAGGCGCAAAAATGTGGCGGGGTTAAACATGTTTAGTGAGATCTCAACCCTGCCCCTATACATCTAGCCAATGTATAATAAACAAACACACAGTAATACGCACAGTAAAAAGAAGTCCGAGTCGGATGTCAGAATAGGTAACAGAAGAAACTACGCAAAATGACAATGATAGATAAATTAATAAAGGACCACTAGCTGTTACTGACATGCCAGCTCCAGACCTCAATTAAACTGATTGAAAGATTATGTCTTCATCATATGAAAATCAAGCACAATTCCTGCCGTATGAGGTTTAGTATCATACCATCATAAAATATATGAGAAGAACATAACCCTTATCATGCCAACAACTGGTTTTAACATAAATGTGTTTATTTCCGATGCAAAGACCATATGAGTGAATCAATATCAATTCCAAAATATGCCATCTTTAATGACCTGACAACAGTATCGTAACTATATCCCTTCTGAAAAAGTCTGTTTAAAGGTTTGGTTAGCTTTTGATGTGAATGACGACATTTTTGTGCTTTGTATAGAATATTACCATAAGTATAGGATGTGAGATACCTGAACGTATAAAATGTCTGCATGTTGATTTCTATTTACGGATGATGTCCTTGTACCGATGATAAAATTTAGTAAATATTTTGACTTGTTTGTGATATCGAGAACCCTGGTGTAATAATTCACCAGTAATACAGAGATTTATTTCGTTAAAATCAAATACGTTGTTACATACACGAGCGAATCGAACAAGTTGAGATATATAAACACCATAAGATGGTGACAAGGGAATGTCACCATCTAAAAATGGATAATTAACAATAGGAATTGAAAAATCATCTCTTTTATCGTAAATTTTGGTATTAAGCTTCCTGTTAAAAATATAGATATCAAGATTCAGGAAAGGGCAGTGTTCATTGTTAGTATTAGCTTTATTTAAAGTCAGTTCAGCAGGATAAATCTCTTTCGTGTACATACTGAAGTCGTCATTATCGAGAGCCAATATATCATCCAAATATCTGAAAGTGTTATTAAATATTTGTACCAGATGTTGTTTCGATGGGTATTTGCTGATTTTAGTCATAAATTGTAACTCATAACAATACAGAAACAGGTTCGCAATAAGTGGTGCACAGTTAGTCCCCATTGGAATTCCGATAAATTGACGATATACGGAATCTCCAAAACGAAAGAAAATCTTATCTAGTAAATATTCAAGTGCAGTTATCTTTTCAAGCAGGTCCAATTGACATAGTTATTTTGTTTATTGTTACTCAAAAATGACCTAAAAGAATTTGAACATATATATTCACATTCTGACTTTTTAAATGCCCATTTAATTAGGTGTGTGAATTTTTTCTTAATGAGTTTATGAGGCAAAGTAGTATTTAGGGTAGAAAAATCAAAACTTTGAACAGATTCGAAATCACCAATATAAACATGCAATTTATCAAGTACTTCCAACGAATTTTTGACATTCCAAAAGTAATTAATTCCACTATTTTTAAATGCCTTATTTGAACAATTTATTACCAGGTTTTTGATTGTACCAATTGTACTAATAAGTAGAATAGATAGTTTAGTAGTGGAACAATGGCTTGAATACGAAATAAATCTATATTTGTAAGGTGTTTTGTACAGCTTCGGAAGCCAGTACATAGTTGGAACTTTCATTATATTTGGTTCTGATTGTAAAGATGTAGCTGAAAGTTTATGTTTGTTACAGATGTCATTTTCCGAAAATGGAGTCAGTTTGAAAGTTGGTGAATTCGTGATTTCCTTTTGCAGAACCTAAATATAAAATTTACGTCAAACAATAATGATATTATTGGCAGCCTTATCAGTCGAGGCAAAAGCAAATTCCTTTGCGAGTTCTTTTAGCTTATGTTTGATACAAGAAATAGAGCTATTGTGGTTGTTATTAGGAGTAAAATGTTCTTCAAAATGTTTGCATGCATTCGGATTCGAATTGGGTTGAATTCTTACCTTCAGCTAATAATACATCAGCTATATTGTTCAGCTTATTTTGATGAATTTAACGTACCAAACTGACAGCTTACATATATACATGTAATAGCGAAATATCGTGTTTCCTTTTATAAATGTTCGATACAGGAGGTTTCTCGTGATCTTATTCTATTTCAAGACAATACCCCAAAACGCAAAAACTGTTTTTTTTTATTTTTTAATGTTTCAAATTATGTAAGGAGTCGTCTGAAAATTAGGATACAATGGACAGTAGGAAAATCTTGATGTTTTGTACATTTCCACATTCTAGATCTATCATGTCCATTTTGCGTTTCAAGATATTAGACAATATTTGCATTTTTATACATACATGTATTCTTATGTTAGCCTTGTTAAAGTAAAGGAAGACAACGGATAAAGGACGCAAAGTGTTGCAAGAGCTCACGATGACCCTAAGGGAAGAATTTGAGAGAGTGCACAAAAATATACTACATTGTAAATTGATTTGTATACATCCAACATTTTTTTTTATATCCTGGTGACGTCAAATTTAGATACAATAATACAAATTTAACGAATTTTCCTACAAAGTGCTAGAAAGCCTAGAGCTATCTGTTTTGTGTTCTGGCTATATAAATTTTCAATATACGTTTGCTTCTACGGTAACGAATTGGTTATCATTTATCCAGAAATGCTGTTTTATTTCAAACTTTCATAGAACTAGGAATGGAAATTTATCGGGAACCGATAAGATACATTTAATTTGGTATTTTTGGTCATTATGCTGTTATACGTTTTTGATTTTTGTCTAATTTTTGATTTTCTATATCGCGTAACTTCCGATATAACTTTTGGTATATAATTATTGAGTGCGTATGTTTGTGTGTGTGATATATCATATTAGCCAAAATTATACAGAATTGCAGTTTTGAGTCATATTGGAGCAGTTTTAATATGGTTACATGTTCAGAAATAGGACATTATGTTGTTAAAAAAAAGAATATTTACTGTGAATGTTAGTATCAATGTAAACACTTTTCGAAAAAAAATAATCTGATGTGGTCTAAAATCAGGGGAAACTGGTTTTGTATATGTCCTTTCACCCGTATAAACGTTTAAAATGAAGGTGAACTTGACGAAAGATATTTTAATGTTGCCTAGAACATCGTCATTTAAAAATTGTTGAATGCTTAATTCAGCATAACAGTCTCCAGTGTTTACACCTGTGGTCCTACATCGTGCTTACACACTCATTTTGACATTAAACACTGATATTCTGCTAGCTAACAAATGATAAAACACAAACAATTATGTCTTGTATCCCATCATGCTTAATTTGATTATTTTCGTTTGAGTATTGTCCTGATTCCTAATTCTAAATTTTAAGTTTAAATTTACGTTCTTAAAAAGCACATTATTAAACAAATGTTACCAAATTTGTGAAAACTAAAGTCATGTGCATTTTTCATATAAAAACAACGAAAATAACTTTGATTTTCAGTTTCTAAGCCGAATTCTTGTCTATTGATCAATTCCAAATTGACTTTTCTCAGATTTTTGATTTATGACTTTTGTGACAAAAATCTCCATTGTCGCAACTGAATGAAAACTTCTCTGTAAAATCTGCATTCAATTTTAGATTTTGCATAAAACATACTAGTATATTTCAACAAATGTTTAGCCAAAAAAGGAAATTGTGAAACTATTATGCATGTTAAGATGTGCTGCGTTATTTGTGTTGTAAAGTATATATAATTCCATAATAGTTCAATACGCTGAATACATTTGGATGAGTAGTGACTGATATACATTGTAATGTAATCTGGTTATCAATTGGAAGAGTACACTTAAACTCCAGAGAGTTTGCAAGCTTTGCTATCGGTTTTAGATATTTCATTGTCAAGAATTATGGCGATGATTAATTATTATCTCATTTCGGATTTTTGTTGTCAGGAACTTTTAATACGGAAATAATGGAAAAAACCAAGCTTTCTGTGATACATTAAAATGATTGCCGGAAAACAATGGCTATGATTTTAATATTGCAAAGATGTTGACGTGTACACAGATGTATACTATAAGTCGTTGATATTCGCGCCATTTGCTTTCATTTGCAATCTTTCCATATCTCCTTTATCTTATAGTATTTAATTAAATGTATTTCTTTAATCTTCAATTGTTACCATTCAGTTTATTAAAAACTCTGTATTGCTGTATTAGAATGCAAGCATTTAGTATAACTTTCAAGTAAAATGAAATTTCGATCCGAAAAAAATATGAATATAAAATGTATATACAACTTGTATATTACATAAGTTCATGTCGTTGTTGAGACATCATAATCATCTTCTGTTTTTTGTCCAAAGAAATGATCATATGTGTCTTCTCTCCCTTCGTTATTTCTTTTGTGACTTCCGGAGTCGTAAATTGTATCAACGGCATGGTTATAAATGTTATCCTCTGATTCCTTGTGACGATTACTTCCCGAATGGTCGTAGACTCCTTCATTAGATATATCATACTGATCCTCATGGCAAATTTTGTTCTCCGTATCCTTAACAGGCTTTGCAAACTCATAACCTACCGGAGTGTTAGAAAATAGTTGTCTATTGAAGCCCGTTTCGGTTGGATCTAATACCATGTAACTGTCTGCTGTTCCAGTCCTGTTGTCTATGGGCTCATTAAAACTTGTTTCAGCTGAAGGATCAACAATCGCATATTCATCGTCATTTGACATGTGATTATCTGCAAATGTTTTATCCTGACGGTGTGCATATGTAGGCACCGGAGCTTTTTCTTTATTAACAAAACCGTTGACTGCACCTACGTTTGTGTATTCATGCTGAACATTATTGATATGAGCATTAACATTTGTACTGTCATAACCATGAACACTATTATTACTACTCCTGTCATACATGCCATTATTTTGCATATGGTTGGAATGATTGGCGGTTATTGGTAAAGCTATATCTTGACTTCCAATATAGTCATTTCCTCCGAGATTGTTTCTTACTTTTTCTCTTGGATTGCTCTTGTATGTATGCCTTTAATATAAATTACGGTAAGAAGTATTTTGTATTCAAAATCAAATCAATTATATACAAATAAGCCATGTCTGCATAATTTATCAACCCAATACACATGCATAAAAAGTGAATTGCTTTAGTTGTTATTGCTTTCCTTATGAAGGTCAATGATTTGTATTGTTATAGAAATCACGCGTAATAATTGAATTTCTTAATGACATAGAATCAAATATTAATTTGAAAGGGTTTCGTGAAATATTAATTATCAAATATCAGCATCTTAAAAGTACAATTTTATGTAAACATACCTTCTTATGAGAACAACAATCAAAATTACAACACATAATAGTAACAAAGCACCAATTACCAAGCTTACGACTAAACCTGCAAAATGTAAAAAGTAAACATAACACATGCTATATGGTTGTTGTAGCATTAAGTGCACCGTAAAGATATTTGTTTTATTCGCATCTTTTTCACACAATTAGATCCAACGACCAATCCCCGATTTCTATGTTTGGTTGTGAAATGTTTTATTATCCAATTTAAAGAATGATATAGTTTCCAGTGAAAAAGAATAAAATGGTTTTTGTTATTCCTTTTTCAACTCTTTAAATCAAATCCAAAAATTGTTGAATCCGGTACATTTTATTATTTTGTAATGTGGGTTAACTTTGATTCTTGTAAACGAAATATGGATTATGATTGGTATGCAATCAAAGCCAAATACCTCCATATTTTGATAATATGGAACCACTTATTATTTCGTATTCTTATAAAAAACCAGCAGAAGTTTGATTTCTAATTATACGTCAGTTACATCAGACGTCAATATAGAAAATAATGTTCCTTCCACTTGAGATTGTGAAACATTTAGTTTTAGATATGTTCCCTATGGTCATGTCCTTACAGGAGACCTCAACATCGTCGAAGACCGTGAGGTCATAACTTTTCTTAAGAAAGGACCGAAATATCGTCCTCCATCTAAAATAGATTGGAAACAGTGTCGTCAGATCATTAAAGACGCTCTGTCTGTCTACTGTAAAAATTGCTGTAAACGTGAAAAATCTGATAAAAAATCTCTAGAAAGTTATTTGAATAAAATTATGAATACTGTTAATATTCGTATATCTCATTTTGAAAACAATTCTGAAATTAGTAATAGGGTCCATGATATTCCCATTTCCAGAAGAAAAAATAAACTCCAAGTACTCGCAAAGCGGTTTGTGTTCGAACCGGCAGACAAAGCAGCAAATAATGTAGTGGTGGTGTGACGCATATACTACACGGAAGTTCTCCAAAACGAAATTACAAATTCATCTACATTCAGGTCCGTACGCTCCACAGAGAGTCAAATTGTAAACAAGCATATCACTGCCACTACCCAGCTAAAGGCCTCTTCCGAACATTTGAAAGTCCCTACTATGTACTGGTTACCTAAATTGCACAAAAAACCATTTAAATTCCGTTTCATCTCCGCATCTAGTAAGTGTTCTACTACTAATCTATCAGTGCTTCTAACTACCTCCCTTACTACTATCAAAGAACTTGTTATTAACTTTTGTAATAAAGCTTATGAAAATAATGGTATTAATTATTTTTGGAGTGTTAAAAATTCTTTAGAGGTTTTAGATAAAATACATGCTTTTGATGGTCCTTTTAATTCTGTTGACAGTTATGATTTTTCTACTCTCTATACTACACTTCCACACAATCTTATCAAGAAAAAGTTTTCATATTTAATTAAATGGTCTTTTGAAAAATCTCATTACAAATTTATTTGCTGTAACTCGTTTAAAGCCTTTTTCTGTAACGAAAAAAGAAATTATGCTAGATACACTTACTGGAAATGTGAAGATATGATTGAAGCTTTAAATTTTCTCCTGGACAACATATATGTACGTTTCGGCGATAGAGTGTATCGACAAGTATATATACGTAGTAGGTATTCCTATGGGCACTAACTGCGCCCCGTTAATAGCAGATTTATTCCTGTATTGCTATGAATCTCAGTTTATGACCAAACTCAGTAAAGACACGTCCTTGTTACATTTGGTTGATACATTCAACAATACCTTCCGTTATCTAGATGATATTTTTTCGTTAAATAATCCAGAGTTCTCTAAATATACTACCGAAATTTACCCAATAGAACTTACTTTAACTAAATCTAACTTAAACAGCAGTAGTTGTCCTTTTCTGGATTTGGACATTTCAATCTCTAAAGGAAAACTTCATACGAAAATTTACGACAAAAGAGACGATTTTTCATTCCCTATTGTTAATTTTCCTTTTTTAGACGGCGATGTTCCTTTGGCTCCATCATACGGTGTTTATATATCCCAACTCGTTCGTTATGCCCGTGTGTGTAGTGATGTCATAGATTTTAACGAACGTAATCAATGCATCACTGGTAAATTATTAAATCAAGGATTTCGTTACCATAAATTACGTAAAACTTTTGCTAAGTTCTGTCATAGATACAAAGATTTGATTAGTAAATTTGGCTGTACTTGTAGAAAACTGATTAAAAACGGTATTTCACATCCTAAATTTTAGGTAATATTGTACTTAAAGCGCGGAAATCACTATGTGATCCGTGTAAACTCATCGAACCTTTAAACAAATTTATTAGTAAAGGTTATCTTACCAATGTTGTAATTAGATCTTTGAATATAGTTTACATTGGCACTAATATCGATTTTGTCATCAGCAAATTAAAACATAACTAAATTTGTATTATTTTCAAGTGGGATGTATAAAGACACACCCACGTTCGTTTAGATCTATAAAGAGGTTAAACTCCTGACTATCCTACTGTCTGTCGATACATTTATTTTTGGCATTGCACTAGTCATGTCTTCTTTGACTGTCCATGACGTTAAAATACTAAATCCCTGGGATGTGTTTTAGTTGATTTTAGTCTCTGATGCATGATTTTTTATTATTAATTGTTTTGGCTTTTAACTAGCTGTCAGTAACTGCGAGTACTCTCAAATCGTACTTTATTGTTTATATGACCTGTTGATACTAATTGTATTGCTTTTTTGTTATTTAATCTTATTCAGGGTTATATCTGGTCTATATACCAGCTTTGATAAGTGTTTGGTATAACTATAAATTTTCACTTCGTACTATGAACATCAAAATTATTTATTTTGTAAAAATATTTCCTTTCTCTATTGGTACTGTACACGTATACCTAACAACAAAATTATTTTCATTTACCTGTGTTTAAAGTTATTGCAAATGGCTGATTTTTTTGTTCGAGCATATTGTTTTTCTTTAATTGTTTAACATTTCTTACCGATATAACATGTTACTTTTATTATTCTTCCCTTAGTTTATTTATTTTGTATTTACATTGTGTCATAGGTCAAATTTATTTGTTCAGTGTATGTTCAATGGTGTTAATATTTCCTTTGATTGAGGTAAGCTTTTTCAGTTGATATTTTATAGTGTGTCTTTCTATGTTGTGATGTTACACTATTATTTCAGAAAAAGGGTGAAGGTTTGGTACCATCAAAACGTTTAAACCCGCTGCATTTGTTTGCACCTGTCCTAAGTCAGGAATCTGATGTTCAGTAGTTGTCGTTTGTTGATGTGGTTCATAAGTGTTTCTCGTTTCTCGTTTTTTATATAGATTAGACCGTTGGTTTTCCCTTTTGAATGTTTTTACACTAGTAATTTTTTGGGGCCCTTTATAGCTTACTGTTCGGTGTGAGCCAAGGCTCCGTGTTGAAGACCGTACTGTGACCGATAATGGTTTACTTTTATAAATTTTGACTTGGATGGAGAGTTGTCTCATTGGCACTCATACCACATCTTCTTATATCTAATAATTATATATACATATTGTTTCTTTTTTTTCTGAAACCGTACATGAAATAGTTTCTGCTTCACTAGTGACATACATGGTGTTGAGTTTGATGAAATGGCACGATTGGTCACTACCGGCGGCAAATCATTTAACAAAAGAGGCGCAAGATGAGAAAAATGATATTCAAACTCAAAAGTCGACGACAAACTGACAACGCCATTGCAAAATACGAAAAGCGACCAAATGACAAAATAAAAAATAACATAAAAAACTAGGGAATTCTAGATACGAACTCCACCGAAAACCGGGGGTGATTTCATATGCCGATGAAGGGATATCAGATACATGTGGCCCCCGTCGTGTTGCTCATGTGTAAGTAAATATCGTCAACTGAGAAACAGATATTCCATAACGGTTTACCAACTCGTAATTGTGTCCATAAAGTTTTCGAAGTGATGATGTCAATTTTATCACTTGGAACCCTTGTTTTAATATACAAGTGCTTTCAGAGCACCTGAGATCACCCCCGACTTATTGATGGGCTTCGTTTTGCTCCGTCATTGGTTTTCTATGTTGTGTTTTGCAAACTGTTGTTTGTCTTTTCCTTGTTTTGCCTTTGCGTTGTCATCTTATTTTCGACATATGAGTTTGAATGTCCCTTTAGTATTTTTCGCCTCTCTTTTAATAGCTTCTTTTTAAGAAGTAACCATCTATCAAGGAAATAACAGTGGGAAACGCGAGCTCTTAAATATCGAATAAAGTGGGAGATATATATGCAATAGTCAGGTGCTGCTAGAATGTTGCTACATAGAAATGGAAAGTTCACAATTGGGAAGCTAAAATCATCACTTTTTTTCGTAAAGTTTAGTTATAATTTACAGTCATTACTGAAAGACTACAGGTAAAGTAAAGTGTTTTTATAATGCCCCTTTCTTCATGACAATAGAACGCTTTGTCATGAAACTACACTGCTTAAACAAACAAAAAAATGCCAAAAAAAGGAAATAGACAGGATAACGAAACCACACAAGTTGTTTGGTAAAATACATAATACATAACATCCGAAATAATATAAGTCACTAAATGAAAAAAGGATCACTGTTGTTTCTCTTTTATTTAACGTATTCAGCCATACCTGCATTTGAACCTTCTCTTGAGGCAGTAAATGATGAAACTTTCGTAGTTTCCACAACTGAAAACAACTATTTCATGAATATTTCATTTCAGTTATCTCTACATAATTAGCAAAACCTCAGAAACAAATATATATTATATGTTTACCAATATGATATCTACTCATCACTCGCTTACACAAACCGAGACTATCAGGACGACATTTTTCATTGATATTTAGTCATAAATAGTATGAAGGTATTACACATGAAGAAATATGAGAGTCGTTGGAAAGTGAAATTTCACGAAATGACATAAAAGTTGTCCAAATCACTGAAAATTCATGTGTTATTACCTTTAATGAATTGCGAAATAAACACAAACTTCCGGTATCTGGTGTTTCAAATCGATATAGAACAGCTCTTTTGAATAATGTGGAGAAAGATATAACGAATGTTACAATCAAAGATACTCTGTGCGAGCTCAGTGATATGTATATATTTACTCAAATGACAAAATACGGACAAATTGTTCCTGTGTCGATGAAACGGGGGTGGGTAGGGGGTGGAGAAAGGGGGAGGGGGGGGGTTGGGGGCATTAAAGGTGGCCACCGAGAAGGTCACATGATAAAAGAGTGTAGGCTTATTGCGGACGCATGCCACCAACGCCACCAATGTGGGGAATACACGAATATTAAAAATTTGAGGGTTGACGTTCAAACAAGGAAGATGACGAGGAAGTTTTTTTGCACATAAAAACAGTGAACAGGAGACACTTACCGCAAATTAAGACACACAATACACGGGACACGGGACACTCGAATGGTAATTGTGGTTTTAAGTTCTTTGAAAGCAAAATGAATCGGAAAACTTTCGGAGAAAACTTTAAGTGCATATTTTTCTTTAGAACAGTGAAAAATATAGAACTTTCTTATTCCTGTACTGACGGAAACAAAATAAAAAAAGGCCGTCATATGTCTAGGTACTAATAATGTATCTGGTATCAAATGTGACCATTATATTGTTATCAACAATATAACTTACGAAAGTAACCAAAGTAAAATATGACTATTCTGATTCTAAAAAGGTGTCTGTACAATAATCAATAAAATAGGAAAGAGTTCAAACGTTGCAAAATTTAATATAACTGCAAACAGTTCAAATATTTTTGATAGACACATGTGTGATAGATACAAAATTTAATTGATCGATTGCTCTGATGGTTTTTACAAGAATCCTACATGTACTATTATAAAATCCTTATTTGATAGCAATGACCATAGTGGCATACATATGTCATATATATGTGCTCGTAGTAACTTTCAGCTACGTAGTTGATATTGGAAATAACCGGTTTGAATTTCGCTGGTATTATATAATGAAAAGGATCAGGTTTTTACATTTATCGAGGTTGGGTTTTGACCACGTTGATAACAATAGTGTAGACTATAACAAAATGAGTTCAGAAGTTATAAGTAATTCAAAGTTTATGTTAAATGTACATTTTTCCGTACAGTGAATCAGATGATGTTTTCTGGATGGTAAATGATGTTTGAATTTTTATAAATTATGTTGTGTGGGTGAAAGCTTAGGGGGATCAAACTGATGACTTTGGAATGTTTCATAAAACGCAATCATATAAAACTAATTTATAGAATAAGAAAGTCCAACACAATGTTCGAATGTTTTTGTCAAATACTGGCTGTCATACTTTGACAAAGAAGTTGGTATTGAATATTTTTCATGTATATGTGAAGTTCTAAATGGAATTCATATTAAGTAGGCAAACATTCTACCAAAAAGCGATTACTGCATGTTGTGACCTTCATAGTTAAAAGACCGAACGTTCAAGAAAATAGTATACTTGAAGAACGTTTTTGGTAGAAACAATATAAAATATAAAGGGACACCTTTGTACTTCCTTATCTGTACCACACCGCCAAATAAATGATGTTTGGAACATTCAAAACGGAAACTTTTTTAATATTCATTTGTATTCTCTCTGGCAAATTAGATATGTAAAATAAAAGCAAGGTCCCCTTTGTCAGCTTCCCTGTACTGATTATGGGTGATGTATTACAGTGTGATTTGACAATTTAAGAAATGTAGTTCATGTGAGAAAAAAATACGTGAATAGATTCTACAAACTTGCTGTATACTTTAACATATGGAATCTAAGCTGAAACGATTAATAAACTCAAATATCTTTTTGTCATGACAATGTCGTGTCTTGTCATGCAGCCAAAACATGTTAAACATGCAGATCTAAATATGAATGGCTAAGTACTTTACCCTACTACACTACAATTCAATTTGTAATCAATGAGAATAGGATGCATGGCCAGACAGGTAGTTTGTCAAAAAGAAATGTACATAAATTTGAATTAATATACGTTGCTTGAAAAGAGCAATATTGTTTATTTTTGTGTATTTATTCAGCCATACCTGCACTCGAATCGCCTGAGGTACTATCTGACGAGACTGTAGTAGTTTTCTTGTCTGAAAACCAATATTTCATTTTGAATATAAGTTATCGCTACATAATAATTGAGAAAAACTTGTTAAAATTAATATGCCTATTAATATATGACGAAATGGTTATCGTTATTTTGGTACAAACGGAGCTTTTCTACATGTAATACGTGTAAAAGTCTTGTCGAAATTTTAGCCATTTTCCAAATATTTCCATTGTAATAAAATATGTAATTCCACAATCAAAATAAATTTGCAAGAAATAAAAAATAAATAATTTAAAGATGAATAACAGACAACATCAGTGACCATAAAAACGACGAAATGACAAGCAGCAGTCCACAAGAGCATACAGTAAATGTATGTGAAACTGAACAAAAGGAGCCCCCGAATATCGGGTCTGATCCCAGGTGCCCTGGAAGAATAGCATACCCTGCTCCATAAGTACGCATATGGAGATAAGTCACATTCGGTGATGTCATGGCGGAAGAATTGAAAATGAAATGATGGTTACGATAATTAGAACATATCCGTGGTTATCTGTGACATATATATTCCATAACTGACAATCAAACCACATTGCAAGAGAGATAGAAAAGTTTCTTGTCCCAATGCAAAGGAACAATAAAAAAGACAGACAATGATCTAAGAGCAAAACGACGAAAGGACAGATAACAATAACAAACGAACGCTAAAAGAACGCTACCGATCATGCAACAAGTCTCCCACCGGGGGTGAACACATGTGCTCCAGCAGGCATTTTTTTTTAACAAAGTATGATAAACTAATCATATTTACCAGGCTTAAAACTATGTACGCAAGAGTAGCGTTTCGTCTTCCTAAGATTCACTAATGAAGTTCGAATAAAAAAAGTAAAAAAAGCCAAATGAAGTACGAAGTTGAAGATCAAGGAGGACCCAAAATTACGAAAGTTTTTGCAAAATACAGCTAAAATCTTTTCATGGGTAAGAAAATCCTTTTATTTCGGAAAAAGATGTCTCTTAATGAAACAAGATGGTTATACCCACATGGCCATTCTGCTTTATAAAAAACAAAGTCTGACTTAATGTATTGATTCATCGTTAAGTGTTGGAATAATTATAGAAGTACGCGATTTGATAGTTCACTTGTATATTAGTTATCTGTTGAGATATATCATATTTTCAAAATAAATTGCATTCAATCAGAGGCTCGAAATACGTATATTTACTGCTACAATATAGCATATATATATGTAAAAGAAGCTTTTTATTAAATTATCTTTTTTTCAAAATAGATATATTTTTTCATTTATGTTTTTTGATAATAGCCTCAATCTGTATTTTTGTTTTTTGTGCTATTTCGATGTTTTTTTTTTTAATTTTTACATTACTCGCATGCAGTTTTTGAGTTTTATATTTTCTTCTTTCGGCCAGTCTCCTTGCTGTTCGGTATTTTCAAACCTTGTTACATTACTTAAAGAACTTATTCAGTTAATTCGATGGAATATCGCTTGCGTTCATAAAACGACCATTTTAATTTTAAAATAAAACAGGAAGAAAGAAAAAAAAGTCATTTACCTATTGCTGAATCATTTAAAGTTTTATCACTTTCTGTAAAATAAAATATGAGATAAGATTTAAGCGATTGAATACTCGCTCAACATTACATTTGAGTATTAAGGATGGCAAATGTTTATGGAAATAATGATGTCTGTATATTTCAGTCTCAATGCAAAAAAGACGTTCATCTCAAGTAATCTCATCAACGAATAATGTAAGAAGGCAAGCTGTTGCATAGATTTGATAAATGTTCCATAGACACATTATTATCCCGGTTTTATCTCATACAATTTAATATTATCTTATTGAAGTAATTATTTGCTACATATTTCGATGAACAGTTAATGTTTAATAAGTTTTGTTCTGTTGTTTTCAAGTGTAAAATCATACAACTGTAACATATTCGACCATTTTTTTCTAGTTTGATTAACAGCATTAAAATTGAATTCAAGTCTAAACATGCAAAGTTTCCTAGTCTTATCATGTTTAATTTTTTACAAGAAGAATTTGACAGTATTTACTTTCATTTGAACGGTTAAGTTCAAGTCAATTATGATTTTTAAACTGAATGGTGTTAGTTGAATACGAAAATCGTTTTTTCGTGGTGACACAGAATTCAATAAAAATATCTTATCATGTCTGGCAAGATTTGAGAGGAAGACGAATCCGGCCTTAGAATTATCAAATTGACTTTGTATGTTCCGAAATAGACAGTTCGATACATTTGGACTTCATATATTCATTGCTTTGATTTTCGTTAAATTAGAATGAGAACAGCAAAGACTGTCAAAATGCTATACGTACGTAAAATACATACAATTTTTTAATTTTTTTTTATCAAAATGAGAATTTTTTCAAAGGATGAAAACCTATGATCTGCTTTGTTTTTAAAATTCTGAAGAACTTTATATTGTAATAGTTATCTGTATGACAAAAATTTTGTGAAACAGTAAGAACGGGAAAGTCGAACCTTTCATACTAGGCCTTTTGTTTCATTCATAGAAGTAAAATGAACTCGTCCTGTGTTCAGTTTGATGGTCATTTTAGTTACTGTACTAGTATGTGCGAAACGAAATGCAAATTAATATGTTTCTGAAAACAAGTTGTTCATTTATAGGATGTTATCATAATTTTAAAGGCATCATATAAGGAACTTATCAAATGACATAATAAGTATAAAAGCATTGTTTTTGTCATATCTAAACCTTATAATCGGTAATAGGTTATTTCCGTTCTCACCTGAATATCCTATAAAAAGTAGAACAATATGGAATAAAAAGTAAGCGATCGGCTTAATCCGTAGTATTGTGATAAAGTTTACCGAAAATATAAAAACAAACATAGGTTGTCGTTGTTTCATGTCTGTCATATTTCTTTTTCGTAAATTAATTCGTTGTAAATTAGACCGTTAATTTTCTCAATTGAATTGTTTAAAATTGTCATGCCGGGAGCTTTTATAGCCGACTATACGGTATGTTTTTTTTTTATTGTTGAAGGCCGTACGGTTGCCTATAATTGCTGACATCCACTTCATTTGAACTTTGGTGGATAGTTGTCTCATTGGCAATCATACCACATCTCCTAATTTATATACATACATTCAAACTAGTGACGTGCGAACTTTTGGTTAATGGTTAAGACCTCACTATGGCATAACAAGACAGCAATAAAGGACTCATCATTTGCTATTAGTTTTGTTAAGTATGTGTCGTGATTTTGCATTTTGAGTTAATACTTCTTTTTCATAAGTTAAATCTGAAAATTATATATTTACTTACATTGACATGTCTCTAATATAATGATACGTGAAATTGTGTCGATTAATGGATTTGAATAGGTTGTGGGAAGTACAACAGTTTAATGAGCATACTGACTAATCATGAGGTCAGTTTGGCAAATTTGATTGAATTTGACCTCGCTGTTTGATATGAATGTTCAACGCGGCATGTCCGATTACATTTTAAGAATTGTTCGGCGTGCAAATGGTACTTAAATTACATCAAACCTCTGCCTAAGTTGTTAAGACTAAAACACAATGCTAGTTCGCAAGTTGGTTAAGAGAGCTTTCTAAACAGTCGGTTTTGTAAAATTGTAATTTACAGTACTGCAGACAAAAATATTGATTTGACTGTACCGATGTGGCGGAATGGCCAGGACACATTTAGATAAATGTGAAAGCCTACGCAAATATACGAAACGTATTTAAATGCGCTGTGTCAGTGTTATCCAGAAAATCAATTTGATGAAAGGAAGGATACAGTATTCCAAAAGGAAACCAATTAGTAGTGTATTGTTTTGGTATTCGATACTTGGTTCACCAAGCGATACTCGAGTAATTAACAATGATTGAATGATGACATATTTATAACTTTGTATCAGTTGGCTCAGTTGCATATATTGCTTAAAACAAATGAAGGGCTTCAGAGCGTTGGTAAGTTTAGAGTATAGATAAAACTAATTTTGTATACTTTGTTGAGGTATAAAACGACCAGTTAAATCACTCAAAATTTTCTTCTTGGAAAATGCGGACTCCGAGGTACATATTATATGATATTTATTTAAGGGAAATAGTAATAAGTGATAATCTAAGAAAAGAACTTTTAAAAGAAATGAAATTTGATATAATATATGAACAACCTAGAAAAAGAGCAATAAACAAACAATAACTGGCAATAAACAAATGAACAAAAGAAATAGATATTTATTTTTTTGCCTACTATACTCCGTCTATCGCTCCCGTCGTCATAAAAAAAACACATTTGACTTTTTATTTTATTTTGTACTATATCAGTTCTATTTAAAGTTTGTTTCTGATAATAATGTTTATGAAGTACATAAAGTATTTGAAACTGCCTTTTTTTAGAGATATTTTTAATTTAAAAAAGAAGTACATATAATAATAAATAATATTATTTTGTAAGATTAAACTCTTGGCTTAAGGGGTATTTTGTTCATCTGTGTCACATTTGTTATTTCCTCTCTTATTAGTTTTAAATTATTCACAATTTATATATGTATTTATCCTAGAAATGAGCTGAAATCTTGTATCAATAATGTAAGAAGGCAAGCGATTGCTTCGATTTGATAAATGTTCCATAGACACATTATTATCCCGGTTTTGTCTCATGCAATTTAACATTATCTTATTGAAGTAATTATTCGCTACATATTTCGATGAACAGTTAATGTTTAATAAGTTTTGTTCTGTTGTTTTCAAGTGTAAAATATTACAACTGAAACATATTCGGCCTGGTTTTTTTTCTAGTTTGATTAACAGCATTAAAATTAAATTCAAGTCTAAACAAGCAAAGTTTCCTAGTCTTGTCATGTTTAATTTTCTACAAGAAGAATTTGACAATTTTTGCTTTCATTTGAACGGTTAAGTTAAAGTCAATAATAATTTTAAAACTGAATGGTGTTATTTGAAAACGACAATAATTTTTTTCGTGGTGACACAGAATTCAATAAAAATATTTTATCGTGTCTGACAAGATTTTGAGAGGAAGACGAATCCGGCTTTCAACATGTTAAAATTATCAAAATAACTTTTTTATGTTCCGAAATAGTAAGTTCGATACATTTGGACTCAATTTTAATATAAAGTTTTAGTGATCTTTTCATTGAACATTGTGAAACACTGAAATAACTGAGGAGATCTTTTATAATGTTTCCCAACAATCTGTTACCCTTAAGAAAAGAATGAAGATAGGAAGCAACTCATAGTCAGGCTTTTCATAGGTTGAATTCCAATGAGCCGCGTGAGGTCATATATATGGACCAAAGGCATTTCATAAGCAATACAATGAACTATTTTATTTATTGCTCAAATCTATGTTTGTATTCTTGAGACAATATCGTGAAATTTCAAACCACTACCTACATTTAATTACGTAGTCCCTGTGCAGAGTATAACATGCATAACTGAGAAAATGAAACTTTTGCTGTTCAAAAATACCCGAATTATACAAGAAGAGAATTCAACCGCAGAGATCATGTTTGTGTTTACTTTAAGTGACCAACTCCACCAGTATAAACTGTCGGTCATTAGCCCGGATAAATGCGGAGAGAAGTCTTTTTTCTTAATTAAAATGAATTGGCGTAATCGTTTACTTATTTTTTGGCGAAAATGATACTAGGCATTTTGAAAACTAGTGGCGAAAGGTAACAGTGGCGCCAATCAGTTGTGGCGCAAATAGATGAATTTTTGGTGCAAACGTTTTTCTCTTCCTCATTTCATCAGGAGTTTTGTTATTTTGGCATGCGTTAATATAATATTTATAGAAGTATTGACATTTCATATTGCAGTATGATTATCAAAAGTGTATCTCTGTAAGCATTCAATCCATTTATATTGTGTTTGGGCCACAACATGGTATAAATTAGCAATAGTGTTAAACAATATTCTTGACATCTTCATCTTGATAAGAAACTTCTTTTGACACATTTAGGCTGACTGTTAGTTGGTTCTTATCGCTAATGTTTGCTTCGGGGTAACACATAATTTGAATAATATCTCGTCAGTTATATTCTTATTTCAGTAGTTCAATAATAAAAATGTTACATTAAAATTGCAATTCATTGATATAATTTTTGCTCTCAAATAATAAATCTGTTTCCTAATATTGTAGATATATTAACCTGTTTTTATGATGAGTGAATTTCGGAAAAGTACACTCTCGGGTCAAAGGTAAATCCCTATAAAGTACTTTACCCCTCATAAACTTGAAACCACATTCAAACAAAAAGTGTGAATTAAATAATCAACAATATTACTAACCTGTACACAGATATGTAATTGATATCCTCTTGTTGAAAGTAAAACAGTCAATGTAATTCGAAATAAATGATTCCAAATTAAAATTGCAGTTGTTGTACAAATAATTATCTCTGCAAAATTTATTCAAATTCCATTCAATTTCATTTTCCTGATTAATGCACTCCTCTTCGTTATTTGAATTTGTAAAAGATGGATGCAACATTATATTTAACCCTTCTCTTTGGAAATGAAATGTTGCACATTCCTCTATTTTGTATTGCTGGTTGATGCTTAAACAAGAGTCATTGTATTCCTCATCCTCTGAAATGAATAAGTTATGCTTTATACATCGTCAATATAATATTTTATTCTTTTTATCTGACATTTTATTATCCAGGAAGAAAAATGGAACTATTATGCTCACAATATTATAACAATCATAGCATATAGAATTTATTTCTTATGGTCAAATGGGTTTAAAAAAACTACAGTAACTGTACATTTTGGTTTATATCATGCATTTTGTAGATAACAGAATTTTATGTTCTAAAAATTTAATACATAAACACTCGGAGATGTGACAACTCTTCCTATATAGAAATTAGAAGATGTGGTATGAGTGCCAATGAGACAACTCTCCATCCAAGTTACAATGAGTAAAAAGTAAACAAATATAGGTCCAAGTACGGCCTTTAACACGGAGCCGTGGCTCACACCGAACAGCAAGCTATAAAGGGCCCCAAAATGACTAGTGTAAATCAATTCAAACAGGAAAACCAACGATCTAACTATATAAAAAAACAAGAAACGAGAAACACTTGTGAACCACATCAACAAACGACAACCACTGAACAACATGTTCCTGACTGAGGACAGATGAAAACCCATGCAGTGGGTTTAAACGTTTTAACAGGCGCCAACCTTCACCCTAACACCATAACCTGACATAGTAGTGTAACATTACAACATAGAAAGACACACTATAAAATATCAATTGAAATGGCTTAACTCAGTCAAAAAGACATATTAATAAAAACAAGTAAACATACACTGAACGGATAAATTTGATCTATGACACAATATAAATACAATATTAGATAAAAGGGAGATGTAAAACAATGTCAAAAAGACAACTATAACCTTAGACAAAATGGCGTTAGATAAAATAACGTACACAGGCAAATTTAAATATAACAATTTTGTTGTTAGGAGTACGGAAATATTTTTTACAAAATAAATAAATTTGTTGTTCATAGTACGAGAACAGAAGTGAAAATTTATCGTCATACTAAATACTCAAAGGTGGTACATATTAAAAATAGTGAGACGAGATAAAACACAAAATAAGTAAACATTGAATAGCAAAAATGCATTACAAATTGTGTCAATAAACTCATCATAGATACCAGGATTGAAATTATGTATTTTCGCCAGACGCGCGTTTCGTCTACAAAAGACTCATCATAGGTCAAATTAACACGAAAGTACGATTTGAGAGTACTCGCAGTTACTGAAAGCTAGTTAAAGCCAAAAACAACTAATAATAAAAAATCATGAATCAGAGACTAAATTCAAGTAAAACACATTTTATGTATATGTAAAAAAAAACCAAAAAAACAAAACAATTACGACATCCCAGAGTTTATTCTAGATTTAAGCATAACTTAGCAACATAAAGCATATTCATGATAAAAATCGAAAGCAAACAACGAAATATTATAGTATTTCGATTTTACTATTCGAATACCGTTTTGTTTTACAATTGTCTGTTGTATTCAGTGTAAATTCCAAACATTTATAGATAGAAGATTCCGAAGTGACGGTAAGAAAGCATGGCAGTCCTTCATGTGTTGAATGATAATTCAATACGGAAGTTTTGTTAAATATTTTAACCGAAACGATGGCATTACTAAGTGGAAGTAAAGCTAATAGTACATGTACGTCACGTTGTTTGCCTCTTGAATTCGAATATCAAAGAGTTTTACAAATCTATCAAATAACATCCTTCAGATAATCACGAGATATTTGTATCACACGTCAGCATTTATATTTTTGAATTTACTCTTACATACCTTAAACTATTGCAAAACTTCCAAAACTGTCAAAAAAAAACCCCTATTTTGAGATTCATGTAATTTAAAATAAGATGAATGGACCACAACCGTGCCCAAAAAGATATTTTCCTCCACGATGTCTAATACAAGGATATGTGTGTCTCTTGGGTTAGGCATTGGCCCATACTTAATTTAGCCTTATACATGTAACTATGTAATAAATAGTCATATTATATTAAAGCGACAACAACCCGACCAATGAGCAGAAACCAGCCTAAGGCCACCAATAGGTCTTCAACACAGCGAGAAAATCCCGCACCCTGAGGCGGGCTTCAGATGGCCCCTTACAAAAATGTATACTAGTTCAGCGAAAACGGACGTCACAATAAACTCCGAAACATATAAATGAACCAAAATTAAAAAAAAAAAACCTACAAGACTAACAAAGGCCAGAGGCTCTTGACTTGGGACAGGCGCAAAAAATGCGGCGTATGGTATTTGTAATTTGTCACCATGGTCTTTTGATCACATTACATTTGAAATAATTTGACGCACATGTCCGTTCTATGCATGTGCATCGAAAAAGGCAAACCTTGACCATTTTTTAATGGTGAATCTCTCTCTCTCTCTCTCTCTCTCTCTCTCTCTCTCTCTCTCTCTCTCTCTCTCTCTCTCTCTCTCTCTCTCTCTCTCTTTCACTGAAGGCCATACGGTGACAAAATAATTGTTCATTTCTATGTCATTTGGTCTCTACTGTATCTTGCAATTACTGAAAATTCAAATGATTTGCTGAAAGAAAACATATGTATCTCTAGAGTGTAGCATTTATGTCAGATGGCGGAAAACAAACTATGACTTTTGTAAGAAAACTATTTGTAAGCAAAATACCTCTGCCAGTTTCAAATGAAGTAGGAAAACAATATTTCGTTTTGAAACACAAAAATACTAATGATCGATGTATGATTGAAAACACATTTCACGACTTTAGAACGACTAAAGGAACACATGATATTCAGTCTCTGTTATGCTTAAGTTTTTTTGTTGGTGTAGTCACGAACATATCGAAACATTACACAAATTATTAAACCCGTAATTGTCCGTTTAACATAGATCTGAAAATAAATTAAAAAAAAAAAAACAAAACATGGAGACTGCTGTCATTATGCAGGAACTTCGCCATTTAGTGTAAACAATTGCATTTATAGTAACATTAACATCGTAAACTATATATCTACATAATTATGTTTCCAAATTATTTTGATATACCTTAAATTTTTAAAACACATTAAAATGATTTTTGAAAAGTGTGACATTTATTTATTTCATTGTTACCTTTTTGTCTGTTAAATATAGATTATTTTAGAAAAAAATCATTTTTATTGAGTCTTCTTTTATGATATTTTGTATGTAAAAAGAACCTTATCTCAAAACTTAGAAAAAAAAATCCAAGAAATGTTCCATTGTACATTTTTATTCACATTTAAACAAAGTTTCGTAGTCTAACCTATCAATATGCTTGATGCCGCAGAGTTTGAAAGTGCAATTAATTTCAGATGATTTCGGTAAACATGTCCTTTATTTGAAACTCTCTGTTCAAACATAGACAATTAGTAATACTAGTACAACGTTATACAATGTATACAAGCATTTATAAAGAGTATTTGCATTTTTTTCTTTGTCAACTAATATAAAAGTTAAGTGAAAAGTAAAAGCTCCAATACAATGAAAAATTTGTACAATCATACAGATCATTGCACGCAAAAATTTTTACTTTCACCTTCATAGAAAAAAAGGGGAAACATTAGCAGTTTGCTCGTATTGTAGTATATTATATACATGCACGTACAATAAGTTTTACATATTCATACTTCAGCAACAGTTTCTTCATGAATATTTTCATTTCCATAAAGTACCATCTATAAATATTTCCTGTTTAGGCTGTCCTCTGTTGAGGTTCATAGATACACATTTCTTATTTTAGGACATGAAAAAAAAAATAAAGACAACGAGTATGATATCATTAAAATGTTGGACTTTTTGATCAACAAATTTTTTTTTGAGTTTAAGTTTACAACAAATAGACGGTATTCAATGGGGACTTATTATGCACCCCTTCTGCTACTTGTTTTTGTACTCATATGAAGCAGAATTTATAAAAAACTTTCTCATAGACAAAAAGAAATGAAACATTGCCATTTAGAGTTCTAGAATTTCACTTTCAGGTATATTGTAACGTCCTGTCAATCAATATGGCATATTTCAGTGAGTGCTAGCATTTTATATATCCCAATGAACTTGATATAAAGAATACTATCAAAAGTAGAAGGTCTCCTTCATATCGTGATTTTTTTCCTAAATATTGACAATGATGGGAGGTTTCAAGCTAGTATCAATGCCAAACATGATAATATCAACTTTGCAATCGTCAACTTCCAATTTATCAGCAGTAACATAACCCCTGTCCCATTGTATGGCGTTTACATGTCTCAATTGATACGTTGCGCGTGAGCATGATCAAACTATCTGGACTTCATTTGCAGTGGTGTGCTCTTTACACAAAATCTGTTCCAACACTAGTATGAGGAAGAACGACTGAGATTTAGAGTGCATGTTTATTACAGGCACCATCTCGAATTTGTTATACGATACGATATGTCTTTGTCTCAACTCACTGGCGACATGCTTTCGCAGTCTAAGATCTCTGTGGTCGTCTTAACTGTAATTTTACAGATTGTTTCTCGATTGTGACATTTTGACTGCTGGTTAATTCGCATACCTAATGATGCATTCATAGAAAGAGACATGTCCTCTGTCGATACATCCGGTCTTGTTCCTTTTGGAATTCATGTCATTACATCAGCTTTTGTTTGATTCCTTGATTTGTCTGTTTTATTGGTTGATGAAATTTGAAACAACGGGTACCTTAATTAACAACTACTGAGTTATAATGTTTTAACAATCTGCTTAAGTTTTCTTATAATCACTTACTAACTTATTAATGTGCAAAATTACAAAAACATCAAGCACGCTATAAAGGGAAGTATATCGGGTTCAAAAGCAGACGTAAAAATTAAAAGTCGCTTGTTAAATGGTATAGTTATGTACCTGGTGACCTCCATGAAGACATATGCATAAATCTATATTGATTGCAATCTAAAAATGTCTTTTGATAAGCTGCTTTATATTCGCAGTAATATGTGAAAATTTTAGTGTTATCATGTTTGTGTTCTTCACAGAAGACCTACAAACGTGAGGATAAGCAAGCCTAAACATTGAATTACTGAAAAACACAACATCGTTCAAAATTTAATGATGACTTCTGCAAAAAACTGAAAACGATAAATTGCTGTCTTGTTTTTGATGTTTGTACCGAATTAAAACTTTTCTAGTTAAAGTTTTGATACTTTTTAAAAACATTGCATAGATAAACATAAATGATCTTATATATTAGCAATATACTTCATTTTATTAATTACCTATGCAAGGGCCTTCTAAGAGGGAAATGTCATCCAGTGAAATGCTGCCAATCTGTTTTATAGAACCTTCAATGATGATTTGATCATATAGTGCTATATGAATAGAAACCATCCTTTTCTCCCATTTCTCTTCAGGGTCTCCATGGACAGACATTATTTCTCTTTTCCGACCACTAGTCATTTGGTACAACGTCAAATTATTCGCAGTGTTACCAATTATATAATACCAAATGATTAAGCATTTAAGTCCCGCAAAATCAATCAGACTACTCTCTAGTCGTCCTTTACCAGAACCCTCTAAAGATTTAAGATGAAAAAAGAACCCGTTTTCTGAAAAAAAAAGTAATAAATAAATACAATAATTAATAACTGCAAACCTTTGCATGCAGCTTTTATTGTTATTGAACGCAAACTAAGTATCTAAAATACCTGGGACGATCTCATTTTATAATAAATCTCTTTTGTGCACTTATTATACCCAAACGTATTTACCTAATGTTGGTCTTTAAGTAGAGGTTATATTTATTAAAGCTAATCGGACCGTTAGTTTTCTCATTTGAATTGTTTTACATTTGAAATTTCAGTTCCTTTTATAGCTGACTATGCTCATTGTTGAAGGCCGTACGGTGACATGTAGTTGTTAACCTCTATGTCACTTTGTCTCTAGCGGAGAGTTGTATCATACCACATCTTCTTATTTTTATATGACTATAAGACACGGCCTATTCGAAGCAGGAAATAATAAATAGGATGAACAAACGGCGAGCGTAATACCATCTTTACATTTTCAAAGATTAAAAGAGGAATTAGCTACGATTTAGACAAAAAATTAAAATACAATTTGTTTTTGTTTTAAACATTTATACTAGTGGAATTTTGAAATGATATTTCGATATTAGTAGTCCATTTGGTTCAATTTTGTCAAGGAGGCCGGGTGATCTAAGTAGTCGAACTACTGTTTCACTAGCCTGTCAACACTGAAGTTGTTCATCGAGGTACAAAAAGGTTGGTAAGAAGACTTTGGAAAAACCACGATATCAAATATCTACGAAAATGCAATTTTTCATAAATCAATGAAAGTTGGTATCATCGAAAATAAATGAATCCATAGTATTTGATTTTTAAGTGAGAAATTAATTTGATTTGATAACTTTAATTTCCTTTTACATGGAGAGGTTTAAAGACTTCTATGATAGGGGATCCTTCATATGGAAAAATACAAAGAACATTTTTTGTGAATTAGAACCAAAGCGACCGATTTGGTTTTATTTGAAATAAAAGTTTCTGATAATTAATTAACATTCAGCTGCCTTTTACATACAATTCAAGAAACAGTGATTTTGTGTCGGATTTTCAATTGTACACATTCTTAAATAAAAATGTGGAACGGTTTAAGAGACTCGAGCGACAGAAAATAAAACTGATTTATTGTCAGGTGTCTACACACGTGTCTACAATCTAACATTTAACGCAGTACTTTGGGTAGATCACTTAACAATCTAGATTTTTTTTATGTACAAAAGCCCCTGTTTGGTTCATTTACAAGAAGAATACTCTTTAAAAAAAAGATATTGACATTTGGCGATTATCAAATCCCGTCTATTGACCTAAAAAGTAAAATCACAAAAATACTGAACTCCAAGGAAAATTCAAAACGGAAAGTCCTTAATCAAATGGCAAAATCAAAGGCTCAAACACATCAAACGAATGGATAACAACTGTCATATTCCTGACTTGATACAGGCATTTTCTTATGTAGAAAATGGTGGATTGAACCTGGTTTTAAAGCTAGCTAAACCTCTCACTTGTATGACAGTCGCATCAAATTCCATTATATTGACAACGATGTGTGAACAAAACAAACAGACACAATAGGTAAAAATGTCACAAATAGGGGTAAATAGTCTAATTTGGTAGGTCACATTCGTGAAAAGGGAACGGGATTGTAGTTACGACATAAGGAACATATCCGATATCATCTGTGAAACAGATATTCCATAACGGTCAACCAACTCGTGATGGCGTCCGTAAAATTTACAAAGTGATGATTTCAACTTCACCATTTGGAACACTTGGTTTAAAAATGAAAATGCACAATTGGGAAGCTGAAATCATCTCTTTTGTCGTAAATTTTTGTTTTCAACCGACCCTCATAGTCAATTTCTAGATATGAGTCATAATCAAATGGCAAAAGCAAAAACTCAAACACATCAAACGAATGGATAACAACTGTCATATTCCTGACTTGGTACAGGCATTTTCTCATGTAGAAAATGGTGGATTGAACCTGGTTTTAAAGCTAGCTAAACCTCTCACTTGTATGACAGTCGCATCAAATTCCATTATATTGAAAATGTAAAAAAAAGGGGGATAGCAGTCTACATTGTGTTATCATCTTAACCACTATAAAAACAAACAGATGTAACGAAGAAGCACAAAAAGGCATACATAAAATTTAACATCCTCATTTTGCTTTTTTATTATACGATTATATTTATCTATGTAAAATCCACCCATAAAGGATGGAAGATTTTAAGTACTGGCGTAAAATCGCGCGTTTGAAATTCACACAGAATTAAGTATCTGTTTATAGTGTTCTCTGGATAAATCTCCATTAAAAAGAAATTTGAATAAGGATTAAATTGAATCCTATTTAATCAAACTAGAGAAAGGGAAGGAGAACCGACGAAAATCGTCATTGAGGGGCAATAAATCCTTTATGATAGCGAATTACGATCACAGTCAACTTATACATGTTATATGCAGATCCTGTCTACATGATTCTATTTGTTGTTTTTCAAGTTTCTCCTTATCTCTATTTAAAGTTTCCTAAAGGCAAAAATGAATCAAGATTCCTGTAAGGGAAATCATTTCTAAACGGAATCAACTGACGATTTTACTCTTGCTAAAGTGGGCGACCGTTCTATTTATTTGTTGTGATGAAGTTGAGATCATCACGAGTGGGTTGACCGTTATGAAATATATGTTTCACATATGACGACGGATATGTTCCAATCGTCGTAACCACAATCACGTCCTCTTTTCCCCGAATATTACCTAACGAATTAGACGTATCACCGGGTTTGTACTGACATGAGCAACACGACAGATGTGGAGCAGGACCTGCTTACCCTTCCGGAGCACCTGCGATCACCCCAGGTTTTTGACGGGGTTCGTGTTGTTCAGTTTTCTATAATGCATTTTATATAATGTTTGTGTCGTGTTCGGTTTTCGTTTTTTCTTTCGTAGCCATGGCGCTGTCGGTATTTTCGACTTATGAGTTTGAATGTTCCTTTGGTATCTTTCGCCGTTCTTTTACTCATATCATTCATTGTTTCCACCGCCGCCATTTAAGCATTGCGTGGTTTTGAAACGTTTAAACACAGCAAATTTAAACCAGGAATTATTTCGGGATATGTTCTATTTATATATAAAATTTCTTTTATAAAATTGTTCATACATTTTGACGATCGTTTCGAAAAATTACAGCCAATAGATAATTTTTCTCACCGGGATTCCATTCAGAATGACATATAAGTAGTAACACAAAAAGATGTTTCTCAAGCTTTTTGCGTATCGTTATAAAAGCTCATTTTTTACCGGAATTTGGACACCGATAATCAATTTAGAATAGCATGCTATATTTAATTTAATTATGATTAGTTCTAGAACAGAAAAGGTTTCTCCAAATTTGTGATTTGTTTTTTTTCAATACTATTATTGACTTTGGGAATCAATATGGAACTTAATTTAAAAAAAAGTTTTTTCAAACATTTTCACACGCCACAAATTTGAAATCCCCGGATACAATTATTCTTTTCAATTGAAATTCTAGCTCCAAAAGATATTCAACAAAAATTGAGAATTTCTTAACCAAAAAAGTATGACTTTTTACAAAAATGTTCCCCCTCGTTTTTTCTTAAAGAATCGATAAGGATCTTCCTCTTATCGAAATAAATACTGTTCAGAAACATTATTGATATCAGATGAGGCATTCTTGACCAATTATCACGACATAAAAATGTTGAAGAACGGACAGACATATGTAGTGATTGCTTTAGGACTAGTGGCCATGGTCTTAATAAAAAACCAGATCTAATGGCATTGAACAATCATAGCCTAACAGATTATTCCCACGCAAAAAGTGAACCGGAAAAAAGTCATGGAAGTCCAATTTGTTGCTTTACCAATAACATAATACATTCATATAATTACAAAATGATTTGAGTACTTTCAATATTTGTGCAATGACATATAAGCGACACGGGATCTTTCACGATCCTATTCACGATATCAAAAATGCGGTACCCGATTTTTCACGATATTGAATATCAAATGTATACAAATAATCCAATGTTGACCCACTTTTTGATTAAGCTACTTCAAAAAAAATTTTGACACCCATTTGAAACATTAATATTGAACATCATTGTTCAGAAAATAGTAACTAAGTCATTCATATAATGAAAAACAAATCATGTTTATTTACATTTTATATGTCATTGAAATGTCGAAGAGCAATCTGCTCTTTGTAATTTTGTAAAAAACGTGATATTCTAAACTTTGATTTTCTAAGATACTGTTCATAATGTTGAACCATTTTGACAGACAGTTTTTATATGTTTTTAAATTTGTCCTTATAATTCAATAGATCAGATTATCTATTGACCTTGCATGTGTCTTTTCGATAAGATTTCCTTCACGATCTCATACCAGATCTTTCATGATCGTATCGCAATACTTGACCACCGTAAATTATTCTTTCAGATCATTTTCTCGATATACATCGAGTGACAGCCATTTTATTGTACCCCTAACTTTGTACTTGTTTGGCTTTATCACTATTTATCACTATTTTGATCTGAGCGTCACTGATGAGTCTTATGTAGACGAAACGTGCGTCTGGCGTATTAAATTATAATCCTGGTACCTTTGATAACTATATTATTAAGCCTGTACATGTCTTTAAATGGAGGTGCTTTTTACTAAAAGATAACTCCTTTATAAAACAAGAGTGCACACGCTGAAATGTCTCGCCTTCTTTACTAATCATTGATATTATGTTGATAGTCCTAAATATAAAGCTTTATTACAACTGTCACATAAACTTAACATTAACCAAGTAAACTAAACATTGACCAATGAACCATGAAAATGAGGTCAAGGTCAGATTAACCATGCTAGAGAGGCATGTACAGCTAACAATTCTTCCATACAACAAATATAGTTGACCTATTGCTTATAGTTTAAGAAAAAACATACCAAAACACAAAAACTTAACCCTGAGCAATGAACCTTGAAAATGAGGTCAAGGTCAAATAA